GACTTTAAGTGGGTGCTAGCTTTAAGTGGGAGCCAGCTTTGGATGGGCGCTAGCTTTAAGTGGGCGCCATCTTAAAGTGGGCGCCAGCTGTAAGTGGGCGCCAGCTTTAAGTGGGCGCTAGCTTTAAGTGGGCGCAAACATGATTGGGCGCCAGCTTTAAGTGGCTTCCTAAATGAGTGGGCGCCAGCTTTAAGTGGGCACCAGCATGATTGGGCGCCAGATTTAAGTGGGCGCCAGCTTCGAGTGGGCGTGCCAGACAATATCAACTACAACCCACGTCACAACACCAACACTTATAACTTAATTTTTCTAACCAAGGATCATAATAGAACCTAGACCTTCCCATTTCACCCACACGACGCTGGGCCCGACCATCCCCCTACCCCCCACACACAATCCCATCCAATGTCTTCAATTCCAGAGCTAAAAAATCTATCGCCTAACTATTTAAAGAGCTACCACGACTATACTAAATCACATCAACGTTCGAGATTTTATAATTACCTGACGAAAAATTCAGAATAACATTAGTAAAATTTTTATCTAGGCCAAAAGAAGAAAAAAAAAATCCTTTGCCATTTGTGTAAAAAAAAAACAACAAAAAACAATTATACTATCAAGGAATAACTGGCTTCTAAAAATACCCTCGCTCCCACGAGCGTGAATTCCGTGACTAATTAGATTTTAAGTATACGGTACCGGCTTCAGACTGAGGCGCCATGATGCGCACTATCGCACGTGGCGTTGGGTTGTGACGGGTGGGACATGCGCAATCACTGTCATTTGGTCTGTAAACTATAGCTTATACCGCGACCTCTTTCTTTCTGGGGGAACAAATACGTGCTCTTCTTTGTGTTATTTAGTTGTTAATAACAATAGATCAAAGCTGTAAGGGTGACAGGGTTAAGAATCATTACCACAAAACGCCGCCACTATCGTCAATGCTGGTTCAGATCTAATTGGGTGCCAGGAATTTATATATATATATATATATATATATATATATATATATATATATATATATAGGCCTATATATAAATAAATAAATAAATAAATATATATATATATATATATATATATACATATATATATATATATATATATATATGCCGTGGTACCTTTAGATACGAGTTTAATTCGTCCCATACCACATTGTAAGTATAGTAATTAGCTCATATCCCAAAGAAATTTTCTCCATTGAAATGAAATTGAAATGCCATTGATCCACACAGTCCGCTAAATGTCACACCAGTTATTTTTGTCAGGTGTTGTTTAACAACGAAAACACGATAGCATTGGGCGTGACAGCATGGCAGCGATGGGCGTGATGACGTGGCAGCGATGGGCGTGATTACGTGGCAGATGTTTGCGTGACTAATGACAGCAGTGGGCGTGACAATATGACATCAGTAAGCGTGACAATATGACAACAGTGGGCGTGACAATATGACAACAGTGGGCATGACAATATGACAGCAGTGGGCGTGACTAATGACAGCAGTGGGCGTGACAATATGACAACAGCGGGCGTAACTAATGATAGAATGGGTGTGACTAACGACAACAGTGGGTGTGACAACATGACAGTAATGGGTGGGTGTGATAGTATGACAGCAGTGGACGTGTGGGCATGTGTACAGTGGGCGTGACAATTTGACAGTAATGGGCGTGACAAACTATCAGTAATGAGAGTGCCAATACGATAGCAGTGGGCGGGACAACATAACAACATAACATCAGTGGGCGTGACAACATAACAGCAATGGTTGTGACAATATGTGTACAGTGTACACATGATAATCCCAAGCGATGAAACAAATCCTTGTAGTGTCCCGTGCTCACCCATGCGTGCGAGAGATGAGCGGAGCGTGTCTGAGATGCTGGTCAATGAACTTTGGCTAATGAGTGTCACGTGAACTTTGGCTAATGAGTGTCACGTGAACTTTGGCTAATGAGTGTCACGTGAACTTTGGCTAATGACTGTCTTATGAACTTTGGCTAATGACTGTCACACGTTGAAGGAGTTGTGTGTTCATACTGCAGAGGTCGATACGGCGAGAAGGATGAGGTTTATACCACGGTAGGCAAGCAGTAGAGGCTGAAGCTTTCTATAGACACGAGTTTGGAAGCAACTGTGTGTTTGTAGTTTACGGTCATTACCGGTTCGATGCAATGTTCAGTAGCCATAGAGTCTAGAAAAGGAAAGAACCGAGCGATTCTCCGTCCTCCCCTTTGTTACCAGCAACTAGAAACGTTGGTTCTACCTGGATTTTGCTCCCCACCCCCCCCCCCCCTCCCTGTCAGAGCAGCACCTGGTTTGGAAGTTAGAGGCTATGGACATCCTACGGCCTGAGAAAGGGTTCGGATCTTGTGAACTCTGCGTAAGCAAACCCACGTGATATCACATCTTTCCACAGCTGCTACAAGCGTGCGATGGTAGAATCAGCGCATTGTCCAATGTCTATCAACATTTTGTCCCTGTGTCTATCCACATTTTATCCCTGTGTCTATCCACATTTTGTCCCTATATCTATCAACATTTTGTCCCTATATCTATCAACATTTTGTCCCAATGTCTATCAACATTTTGTCCATATATCTATCAACATTTTGTCCATATATCTATCAACATTTTGTCCCTATATCTATCAACATTTTGTCCCTATATCTATCAACATTTTGTTCCTATATATATCAACATTTTGTCCCTATATCTATCAACATTTTGTCCCTATATCTATCAACATTTTGTCCCTATATCTATCAACATTTTGTCCCTATATTTATCAACACTTTGTCCCTATATCTATCAACATTTTGTCCCAATGTCTATCAACATTTTGTCCCTATATCTATCAACATTTTGTCCCTATATCTATCAACATTTTGTCCCAATGTCTATCAACATTTTGTTCCTATATCTATCAACATTTTGTCCCAATGTCTATCAACATTTTGATCCTATATCTATCAACATTTTGTCCCCATATCTATGAACATTTTGTCCCTATATCTATCAACATTTTGTCCCTATATCTATCAACATTTTGTCCCTATATCTATCAACATTTTGTCCCTATATCTATCAACATTTTGTCCCTATATCTATCAACATTTTGTCCCTATATCTATCCATATTTTGTACCTATATCTATCAACATTTTGTCCCTATATCTATCAACATTTTGTCCCTATATCTATCAACATTTTGTCCCTATATCTATCCATATTTTGTACCTAAATCCATCAATGTCTATCCATATATTGAACATTTTCCCCTATGTTTATCTATGTTGTTTACCTTTGACCATATGATCGTACGTTTGTTCTTAAGAAATATTAACTTGTTTACGCTTATTCCATAATCCCCACCTCGTCAGACGGTGTCCATTTATTTCCCGAGGGTCGGGCAAAAAGCTGGTTGATTGAGAAACTATCAGAAGACACCGCCGAGTACAAATAACAACAATAAACTGACGTGAAGAGTTCATGGAGTTTAGTTTTAATCAGTTGGTTTCTAAATCCAGCGTTACAGACCATTCCAGGGACTGCGTGGTGAAGCGATATAAAATGTGGGGTCGCTAAACAGGTGGTGTGAGGTAACCGAGGGGGAAAGCGAAAACATGTCGGAAACTCAGGCTAGGTAACATGATCGAATACCAGAGAGAGGGAGAGAGAGGGAGAGATGGAGAGGGGGGGGGGGAAGAGAGAGAGGGAGAGAAAAAGAGAGAAAGAGAGAGAGATAACATGATCGAATACTAGAGAGAGGGGGAGAGAGAGAGAGAGAGCAATGTTAGTTCCCAAGCTGTTAGTTATGCGCCACCCTCAGTGTTTCTTTCATGCATCTCTTAGGCCCCCCCCCCCTCCCAATTTCCGAAGAGAGTCTACCGCCCCTCCCCTGCTCCCGAACGAAATGGAATTTATATAGAAAATATATAGAAAATATATATTTTTAACAGCATCCACCACCCTGAAATTTTAGTTCGCCCCCCGGAGAAAAAAGTCTGGAAGAAACACTCACCCCCCCGTCTCCACCACACCAATCTTGGGGCCTCCTATAATAAAAACCTGGCCAGATAAAGTTGAAATGATTTTATAAGCCGCCAACGGAATAAAATTTTTGTTTTCCCTTGTTATTATAAAGTTTTGAAAATAGTTTTTAAAAATATTTTATAAAAAGACTTTGTGATATAAATAAATAAATAAATAAATAAATAAGTGAACCCGTGCTTCACCACAGAGACGCGCCTGCCACGTTATGAAACGGCATCGTTAAGGAGTTGGAAGTATCGTAAATGTAATATAAATTAAGGTATCATGAGAACATACTCGGTCTCCACAGAGTAACGTCACAGATGTAATATAAATTAAGGTATCGCGAGAACATACGTGATCTCAACACATTAACGTCACAATGTGGGGAGGACGGGGGGCTGATTACCGCAATGACGTCAAAATGATAAATGTGCCAATTTTAATGAGGAACTTTGCATTGTCTAGTTTATTTGTCAACTCATTAAAAAATTCGTACATAATTAAGCTTAAAGTATCACCATTTATTTGGATGACACACATGTATTTAGAATTTTAAGTAAAGTAAAAATAGTCGCTGAAGGTAGGGAGAGGGGGGGGGGGGGAGGGTGACCGTGTGCACACGAATTAGTGATGCCACGCTTAATGTGCCAAGCTTATCACTGTGTCACTTCTGAACGACTCTACGGTTATAAAGCAACCACACAACATTACTGGTCAAAATTACAGACGAAGTAGAGTTTGCAACTTGCATTATCTCAGCGCAATGTCCGGCCGACTTAAGTCGGGTACTCATTACTGCTGGGTTAACTCCGTTACATAAAAATTCTCAATGTTATACTAATGAAAATGAGGTTTGGGTTTAGCCTCCCCCTCCCCACCTCCCCAACACCACGAATCGCATTAATAATTAATACATTACACAATGAAAGTAACCAACTACTTTTAACTAAAATTGTATAACTTACCTGATAGTTTCTTTTGATTTGAAAAGTTTGAGTTGAGTTTTTAAAAAAGAAATGTAGGCTGGTATAAGTTTTCAACCTTTCGTGAAGTTTTTCAAAAAGTTTTCTTCATTTGATTCTCTACTTGCGCAAAAGTGTCAGAACTGGCTGTCCGCTCTTTGTCTACTTGCCGGCTCAAACTTTTAAAACTTGCTTTTGTTCGCCCCTCGCTCTACTCGCCTACACCACGGGATGCCAGAACTCGGAACCGAGGCTGGTTTATTGATCTACAGGCAAACAAAATTATTCTGGCGACAAACTGGGGGCTGACACCGCCCCAAAGTAGGTGTGTCGTGATAAACGCTTGGACCCGCCTCTTCGGGCATGCGCGCGCATCCCAGTGCCATGTTTGACGTCATTAGGGTTGTATTGTGGCGGTTTCGACGTCATGTAGAACTATTTTAAATTTATGACGTAGTGGTTAAAATAAGACCTTAAATTAAAACTGTTTTTTTAAATCATTTTCAAAATCATATGGCAACGCGTGCATGCTTAGAGAAATAGATATAAGCACAACAACATACACCTATTAATGCTTTATTAAAAAGAAAAATAAATGGTAAAAAATTGGTTTCGATTAGAAGGTTGTGAAAAAAATGCAGTTAGTAGGACTATTTTTATCCCCCCCCCCTCTTCACCATCGTCTTAAAAGGTAGACTCCATCACAAAACTAAAAACAACAACAACCGTTCAACAACCCCCTCCCCCCAACCAGATCTGTAACGTCATTTATTTACGATCCCTAAGTCTTGATATTCATTTCTACAGTAACTGGATTTACAGGTACACGCGAACGATGAATAAAATGCCTGGTTTGGTACAAATACAGAATGTCCTTACACTACAGGTACTTGGACGGAGAAGGATTAAGACTGGGGGGGGGGGGGGGGCTCTGGAACCAAAAAAAATTAATAAATGCTGGGGAACAATTATTTCTCTATAGCTTTCATAAAGGGAATCAGAATATGTTACCATTAACATTTTTAGTAGGTGAATCTTGTTAGCCACTTTGAAAAAGGAACATATTCGTACGACTGCGAAAATTTCGTGAAATATTATATTATTACGAACCGATCCGCGGCGTATCATATGCCGCTATTTAGTTGTTTTATTTTCTACTTTTCAATAATTCATAATTTGTGAATTCGACAGTACCAGTGCTGCCACTGAAAATATTTGCTTTAAAACACTATCAGTAGCTCGTTAAGGACGATACTACCCCAACCCTCCTTTCCTCCAGCCCCTACCCTACATCCCCCCCCCCCCCATTAAAGCAGCCTCCTTTTAGTTACCTCCCCTACGTTTTCAAACTAAATTATCTGCCCCCAATAGCCGTAACTTAACCCGGCTCCACGATTGTAAACATTTAGCATGAACCACAGCTCACCAGACCATGTGGGGGTGGGGATATGCCTAGAGAGGAAGAAAGGGGGCTGTTAGGCGCGTTTACAGCTTGGTGTTCTAGGGTATCCAAGAAGAGAATTATATAGACAATATAGATTTAAAGCCCAATGAAGTATGAATTCGTAATACACTAAGTTTTACTAACACAGAACTCGTTCGTCAGTCTGAGAATGTTGTCACCGGCAACTAAATGTTTTCTTCTCTAAAATGTGGAGTGATCATCACATAATTGGGGTGTGGGTGTGTGTGGGTGTGGGGATGGGGGCCAAACTTGAGTCACCATACATGTTAACCAACGCTGAAGCTGTCTACATAGAAAAGGTTATACAGACTATGAACATACATTTGATCCTTTTGTAACTATTCAGCACCGTTTCATCTTTACAATATATTTTTATAATGTCCCCTTTACAATAGATCCGCTAACAGTTACTGTAACTACACGCTCACTTATTGTCCTTTTGTTTACCACTGTTTTGGGAATAAAAGTAAACTTTTTTTTGTTTCTTGTTTTTGAAGCATCCAGTGACATCATCGTGGGTGAGACAATAACAAACTACAACATCACTACCGTATGATATTGCACTTCCGGAGATGAGTACAATAGAAATATTTGTCTAATGGAGGCCGTTTGTATCTGCTGGTAAAAATATCGCGAAAAAACATGTTTATATTTTTATTGTAATCAAGTCTCTGTTTGTTCTTTTGTTTGTCTTTGAGTCTACTCAGTTGTAATGGGTAGGCCTACCTGAGACATGTCGGACAAACTCTAGTTCACATCAGGGAGCTTAGATCTCGTTTGAATGTCTGTAGGTAGATTCAAACATTATTTTACATTAACCCTTTATCTACTGACGGTACTTATAAGTACCACTTTAATTAAGTGCCTGTATTATTTTTAATTTAATGCGAATTTTAAAAATTATTGAGGTAATTAATAGTATTATCTCCCCTGAGTCGCCGGTAGTCGGAGGTATCAATGTTTTTTTTAAAATTAATGGTGTGGCGCCATTTTCAATGTCTTGCTATATCGGTAGTTCACAATTGTTCTGTACAGTTCTGACACACGTTCCTCAATTCCCTTTGTTTTACCTTATTTTTCAAGTTTTCAACCCCAAATATTTTTTATTGGCACCTTCAATAGTCAGGAAAACGCGTTTAACTTCTAGTTATACAATTTTAATCAAATTGTCTTTGTATTAGATCGATGTTTACAAGTGGACTTATAAGTACCGTCAGGGCACACGGTCATTTTTTTAGGATTTTTAGAAAATGGCAGATTTTTTAGGTGGAGTTACATAAATATTGTCTTGATAATAAATTATCGAAATGTACTCAAAAAATGATATTTACACATTTATAAGAAGGTTTGCATAAGGTTTACCTAAGAAATATTGTAATTACATGTTAATTTCTATTAGTAAAAAATAACAAGAATAAAGGTATCAGTTGCAGGCTCGTTTACAAGTTTTAGTTTACTGCATTTTACTGCATTTGTATACCAAAGCCTAGTTCTTGTAAATAGATTTAATTTGTTAGTTATATTTACTGCAATAAACTTGCGAACAATAACTAGCATTTACGTAATGTATATCTGTAGACTAGTAATAGTCCATACTTCTGCATATAGTATAGATCTATAAGGTAAATTTTAATTAGTAAACAGAAAAGAGTAATCCACTACGGCTATCATAAACACATTGAGCTCACTTCTATTTATGAACTTTACACTGTAGTGTAGACTTGTCATAACATTCTAGTAGACTGCAATTATACTAGTATTACTAGTAGTTGTGTGCTGAATGACTAGGCTTTTGTTTGTTTATGCGGCCCATTGTACTAGCTATTGGAAGCTACCAGCAATAGCATGTTCAGTCCGGCAACCGTTGCTACACCAGAAAGACCACAGACAAGATTGAGGGAGCATGACATGTCGACTACTTTTGCTGTGTATGAGGTCTAAGATGTGTTTCCATAGAAAATCCAGTAAAAATCGTACTCAAAATATACTTTTGTGCTGTATTTATGTGTGAAAATTACAAAATGTGATTGTTATGATGATTGCCATGTTATTAGTTAATAAATTGTACCGTTTGTTCCTGTTTTATAAAAAAAAAATTTTTGGAAAAAAAAATGTCCTAGATTACTGACGGTACTTATAAGTACCAATATCTGTTTGGGCCATTAAAAATTTTTGAAACGAAATTTCCTTCGATATATGCTTCGAATGTGCCAAAAGCAATATAGTAACACATTGTTTAAGTAAAAATCTCATTCAGAACATAATTCCGTAAATAAAGGGTTAAAATGTGGGATTTTTCTATGGTCGTAGAGAAATACTAGGATCTACTCACGTTTAATTTGTACACAACCCACACACATTTGATGTCAACAATACATTCTGCTGGACATTGTATTGACCACCTTTTACGGTCTCAACAATTTGTGGTGGTATCACCAATTGAGCTGGTATCACCAATTATTTAGGTATCACCAATTAAGCTGGTATCGCCAATTATGTTGGTATCAACAATTATGTTGGTATCACCAATTGTGTTTGTATCACCAATTATATTTGTATCACCAATTAAGCTGGTATCACCAATAATGTGAGTATCACCAAAAATGTGGATATCACCAATTATGTTGGTATCACCTATTATGTTGGTATCACCAATAATGTGGGTATCACCAATAATGTGGATATCACCAATTATGTTGGTATCACCAATTATGTTGGTATCACCAATTATGTTGGTATCACCAATTATGTTGGTGTCACCAATTATGTTGGTATCACCAATTATGTTGGTATCACCAATAATGTGGGTATCACCAATTATGTTGGTATCACCAATAATGTTGGTATCACCAATTATGTTGGTATCACCAATTATGTGTGTATCACCAATTATGTTGGTATCACCAATTAAGCTGGTATCACCAATAATGTGAGTATCACCAAAAATGTGGATATCACCAATTATGTTGGTATCACCTATTATGTTGGTATCACCAATAATGTGGGTATCACCAATAATGTGGATATCACCAATTATGTTGGTATCACCAATTATGTTGGTATCACCAATTATGTTGGTATCACCAATTATGTTGGTGTCACCAATTATGTTGGTATCACCAATTATGTTGGTATCACCAATAATGTGGGTATCACCAATTATGTTGGTATCACCAATAATGTTGGTATCACCAATTATGTTGGTATCACCAATTATGTGTGTATCACCAATTATGTTGGTATCACCAATTATGTGGGTATCACCAATTATGTTGGTATCACCAATTATGTTGGTATCATCAATAGTATTGGTATCACCAATAATGTTGGTATCACCAATTATGTTGGTATCACCAATAATATTGGTATCACCAATTATGTTGGTAGCACCAATTAATTATACCATGCCCCACCCCTTTAGGTATTGAGCTGTCTGTGTAGTTTCTCCCAAGGGACATAAACAAGCACGGTGTGTTTGACCTAGCTATTTTAGCAGTTTCTTCCAGGCATCTCTTCGAAGCCCCCCCCCCCCCCCCCAAAGAAAGTCTACCGCTCTCGAAGGAAATGAAATTTATATAGAAAATATATACTTTTAACAGTTGACCCCCACCCGAAAATTTCAAGTTCCCCCCCCCCCCCCGCCCGGAGAAAAAAAATCTGGAAGAAACACTGTATTTTAGACATTGATTGGACACACACACCTACGTGAATGGTGACATAACTGGGTATTTTCTGCACACTCCTTCATGCGACGGGTCACTTACATTACACAATGAGTCACTTAC